ATTTGGGGTAGAGAGTAGGGAGCATCATTTTTATGATTAGCTATTTTTTTTGAAATATATTGGTATATACTGTAACAGTTCTATCTCTCTATTATATAAGTACCATTTCAGTATATGTTAGTCCCACTTAAAGGAATAAATTTTAGAATATTTACAGATTTTTAACATTTTTGTTATTTCTGTGTTAGTTAGCATCTACCCATTTTTATGACAGTGCTACTAATGTTGGGCCAGGTGTGGTAGCTCACACCTGTATTCCTTGCACTCTGGGAGGACAGGGCAGGAAGGTCGCTTGAGCTCAGGAGTTCAAGACCAGCCTGAGCAAGAGTGAGACCCCTGTCTATACTAAAAGTAGAAAAATCAGCTGCTTATTGTAGTGGGTGCCTGTAGTCCTACGTACTTGGGAGGCTGAGGCAAATGAATTGCTTGAACCCAGGAGTTTGAGGTTACTGTGAGCTAGGCCAATCCCATGGCACTCTAGCCTGGGGCAATAGAATGAGACCCTGTCTCAAGTAAAAAATGAAAAAATTACTAATGTTGGATATTTGAGCAGTTTTGCATTAGATCAGGGAACATATGTGTCTAATTCTTAAATAGGATCATAGTATTCAGTCTTACTGATATTTGTATCATTAACATCATTTGCTTTAAATATTCTTTGCAAGGATTTGGTGAGGTATGGTGATGTATACCTTTAGTTCTAGGTACACAGGAGGCTCAAGCAGGAGGATTACTTGAGCCCCGGAGTTTGAGTCTACAGTGAGCTGTGATCATGCTGCTGCACTCCAGCGTAGGCAACAGAATGAGTCCCTGTCTCTAAAAAAATTAATAAGATAAAAGTTACATTGGTCAGATAAGACAGTATTTGTAGCAGCAAAATATTCAGTTTGTAGCCAATTGTATTAAAACATGAATGAATGAATTGTTACTGGTTTAACCAATTTCATGAAACTGTGGGTCAGTGGTAAGTAGGCAAAACAGTGACAGGGTAGGAAACCAGAAAGTAAGTAAACCCAATCTCTGCTTATAAGATTAAGATCCTAACATTATCTGCCATTAGAGTCCATAGAATTTGATGTGGAAATTAAGACATTCATCATATTTATGGACTTTGAAGCCTGAAGTATTTCCATATACTAGCAATGAGCAATCTGAAATGCAAATTAAGAAAATAATTCTATTTACATTAGATGTGATGAACATATTTTGAAATTAGTGGCAGTGGTCTCACAATTTTGTGAATATACTAAAAACATTGATTTGTACACTTTAAAAGGGTGGCATTTATAGTATATGAATTATATCTCAATTTTTTTTTTAAAGTATGTGGTAAAGGACTGATATCCAGAATATACCAAAGCTCTTGTAGATTGATAATAAGAAAACAAAAAACCTAACACAAAAGTGGGCAAAAAGTTTGAATAGACATTTCTCAAAGGAATATGTGTGAAAAGCTGATAAATAGAAGAAAAGGGACTCAATATCATTATTCATTACACATTAATATCATAAGTGATAATACCAAGTGCTGATGAAGATTTGGAACATGTAAATTCTCATTCATTACTTGTAGGAATGCAAAATGGTATAGACAATTTGGAAAACGTTTTTGGCAGTTTTTAAAAAAATTAAGCACATGCTTAGAATACAAAGCAGGAATTCATTCCTAGATATCCACCAAAAGAAATGAAAACATATGTCCTCATGTAAACTTGTAAATGAATGTTCGTAACAGCCTAATTCTTAATAGTCAAAAACTAGAAACAGCTGTCAACAAGTAAATGCTTGAACAAAATTGGAATATACATGCAGAATTTTACTCTGCAATTAAAGGGAATGCAATGCTAATAAACACAGTAACATGAATGAGTCTCAAATATTATGCCAAGTGAAAGAGGCCAGGCCCAAAAGATTACCTACTGTATGATTTCATTTATATAAAACGTTTACACAGCCAAAACCTGTTATAGTGGCAGAAAGCACATGGGCAGTTGCTTGGAGCCATAATTAAGGACCAATATCGACTGCTTAGGGGCACATGCAAATTTTGACGGGTGATAGAATTGTTCTGAAATTTTTCTGTGGTGGACCAGGGAACAGTGGCCAACATCTATAATCCCAGTACTTTGGGAGGCTGAGGTAGGAAGACCATTTGAGCCCAGGAGTTCAAGGTTGTGGTGAACGATGATTAAGCACTGAACTTCACCTGAACAATACCACAAAACTTCAACTCTAAAATAGGTAGATAGATAGAAGTGGTAGTTGCATGACTATACATGTAACCCAATATGGTTAATGGGAATGGTTTGTAAATTATACCTCAATAAAGGTATGTTATTAATCATTATGTGATGTGTTTTACATATATATTTTATGTATATCATATATAATAATGTATTGTTAGTTACTATATTATCAGTTATACCTCAGTTGTTTTAAAAATGCCTTCTTGGGCTTGGCGCCTGTGATTCAGGTGGCTAAGGTGCCAGCCACATATACCTGAGCTGGCGGGTTTGAATCCAGCCTGAGCCCCCTAAACAACAATGACGGTGGCGACCAAAACATAGCCAGGTGTTTTGGCAGATGTCTGTAGTCCCAGCTACTTGGGAGGCAGAGGCAGGAGAATTGCTTGAGCCCAGGAGTTAGAGGTTGCTGTGAGCTCTGATGCCATGGCATTCTACCCAGGGTTACAGCTTGAGGCTCTGTCTCAAAAAAAAAAAAAAAAAGGCTTCTTGGTGTAGCTGAATAAATGGAAGATTTTTAGCTTCAATTCAAGAATTTAAAAATAATGTCTATTCAGCCTACCTGTACTTTTGTTTTTTTGTCTTTACTTTGAACCATATTTCAGAATTTTGTACTTCAATGTGCATAATTAGTTCAGTTTTGTAAACATTTTATTGAATGTCTACTATGTGCAAGTGCTGGAAAGACATCCTTATGTTCAGGGAACTTTCACAGTCTAATAGTGAGGACTAATTTATTTTTAAAGTTATTAATAGAAAATATAAGCACAAAATTAGAAGTTTACAAGGTATGGAA